GTCAAAATATACACATATTATATAATTAAACGTAGGGCTGGGCATATTCGGTTCCGGTCGGTTTTAAGCCCAATCCGCATCCAATCCGAATTTTTCGAATTCTCAAAACTCTCATCCAGATCCAGATTTCCCCCCCTTCATCCGAATATTCGGCCCAACCGAAATTCGGATCGGTTCGGATCGGTTTCGGTTTTGGGCCGAATTAATTCTATTTCATAAAAATCTGCCCACACCTGAGATCATTGCCTATTAATTTCTGATGAAGTATCATTATTTGTCCATTTTGTCTAGTGAAATGAGCGCAAACTATATCAACAAGAAAAATGGAGTTGGAGGAAAGAAATCTTATATACATCTTGCACAAAGAAGAATTTCTCAAAAAAGAAATACAGATACTACCAATAATTCTTGGTACCAAAGCAGCTTAAGCACTTTTCAATAGAGGCATATTCAAATGAAAAAGACAGATGGACTAGACGCACACTCAACTGCCCACTTCAAATGAATAACAAACTCCTTTGAGTTTTTCATTTGAATATGTCACATATAACTTAATCAATTAAACAAAATTCGGTTCGGTTTTTTTCGGGCGGTTCAGGGGTTCAAACCGGATCCAGACCGGTTTAATTCAGTTCGGGCGGTTTAGAGTCTTCTTCTCATCCATTTAATCCGGTTCGGTTAACCGACCCGCTTTTTCGGGCGGTTTTTTCGATTGAACCGATTTTTTTTGGTTTTTGCCCACCCCTAATTAAACGAGAATACTTAATAAATAAAATATATTTACTTATATTTAAAATCAAATAATCATGGGATAATTATATACACAGTAAATCGTACCAGTTATACTAATACGACAGATAATATGTAACAGTAGAAATAATACATCAAATTGTTTAAATAAAACATAATTAATAATACAACGTATATTATGAAATAATACGTAATAAATAATAATAATACAACATATTATTTAAAATAATATGTAATAGTATAAAAAACATAACGGATAAATTCTATAAATTTTTTACTGCTTTAAACTAATTTATAAATATCAAAACCATTTAAATAAATATAAAACTTGGACTTTAAATCATAGAAAATTATAAAAATTCGAGAAAAATATAAATACTCTTTTAAAAATAATAATTAAATAATTTAAAATATCATAAAATCATTTTAACTATTATCAAATTTCATGGTCCTTACACATTGTTAGGATGTTAGGTACATACTTAAGCAACCCTGGTATGGATCATTAGATAGCAGTCAAAAGGGTTATGAGGTATCTTCAGAAAACAAAAGATTATATGCTCACATACAAAAAATCAGAACAGTTGGAGGTCATTGGGTACTCTGATTCTGATTTTGCTGGATGCCAAGATAGCAGAAAGTTTACATCAGGCTACATTTATATGTTAGCAAGAGGAGCTATATCATAGAAAAGTGTCAAACAGACACTCGAAGCTTCCTCCACTATGACATCACAATTTATAGCTTGCTATAAGGCATCCAATCAGGGAATATGGCTGTGAAATTTTATCACGAGACTGCGTATTCTGGAAAATATGGAATGACCACTAATGCTATATTATGACAATAAATTTGCAGTAATGTATTCCAATAACAACATGAGCTCATTTAAGTCAAAACATATTGACATTAAGTTTCTAGTTGTGAAAGTAAGGGTACAGAGTGGACATATATCCATAGAGCACATTAGGACAAACTCCATGATACCTGATTCTCTTACTAAAGGAATACCACCCAATGTCTTTTATGAGCACACTGCTCATACGAGTGTGGTATTATTTAAGGATATCATGATTTAGTTGGAGTTTGTAATTTGGAGTGCTTTATGTTTGGTTATATTGTCTGATCAAAATAGGGTATCCAGTTAAGTCACTCTGTTATATTATGTTTGGTTTTGACCTCACTAAAGTTTAAGGTAGGACCAGTTAAAAATAGACATGTACTGATCACATTGCATATAATTTTCATGCTACACATCCATGATTGATCCATGTCGTTTGATTGTATTGATATATGTGACCATTGATGGGTTTAGTTACGATAAATGTGACGAATGCCGCTTTGATCCTATATTGATATAGTCAATAGACGAGATTGTTTGGAACCCTTATTTATGATAGCAAATTTTGAGCTCATAAGGTTATACACACTTTAAGGAAACATATGGTGCATAAGTGGGATATTGTTAGATTTAAATCTAATTAAATCTATTTGTGGGCACATATGTTATATCAGTGTGTTTTGCTATCTTTACAGTTGACCTAGATAAAGTGATTAATCAGGTAATTGGGTCAATGGGTATTTATATATGTCATGGGCTAATTGTGCAGATACCAGATTGCAATCTAATTTAATGAGGGGCTAAATTAGAAAACTGCAAGTCTATATAAAGGGGTTATGGTCCCTAATCTTAGGGTTGAGTTCTCATTCTCTTATCCCCATCTAAAGAGAATTCTCAAGAGAGAACCCTCAAGATTAGAAGATCCAAAACCCAAATTTCAGATCCAAGCAATGGATTCATGTATGCTTCCGCTCTCATTTTTATTCTCTATGAATTAATCACGAATAAATTTTCAACAATAGTTGCAAAATCCAAGCACAAATTGTAATCAAATAAAAGAAATACATACTAATACGTAATTAATATGAGAAAAACATATAAGATTGAAAAATATATAGGACATGCAATGCATATATATTGGGATTATCAGAATTATTCAAAAAGCTAAGATTAAACTCTAGAACATCAAATTTGATCTCAAATCCACTGATCAAATGGTTGGAAGACCATCAATCTCACATTAATTGATATAATATCATCGTACTATAATATATATAATACAATATATATATATAGCTAATACAATTATATGACCATATAGTATACTATATATACATAATATAACACTATAATATATAATTACGTATACATCATAATTATGGTATATGCTGGAGTGTGAAATCAGTACTATACCAATAGACGTACTATTATCAGAATAGCCATATACCGTTAGTAAAGTATGTATGTATGTCATGCTACTGTATGTAAGTATATACATAGTTATATAGTCATACCATAAAAGTACTATACGTACCTATAATAATATACTATACGTGTACATATATAACAGTATGATGGTATGTATGTAAAGCATATGTATATACCATACCATACATACATACATACCATACATATACTATATATACAAAAAAAAAAAAAAAAAAAACATATATATAATACCTTAGTATGATATATACCTACTACTATATAGGATATATATCATTAATTTATATAATACATAGTATACTAGCACACACACCAACACACAAACCAACACACACACACACACCACAATATATATATAGGTGGCTAAGCTACTAATAGTACTATAATATCTACAGGTACTTATAGTAATACTATATGTTAGTGATTCTACTGAAAATCAGGTATATAACGTATATATATATATATAAGGTTATAACCTACATTAAAAAATTTAAAAACGACCTTTTTTAAAGTTTAATATAAACGACATTCACATTGTTTTTTACAAAATCCGACTCCTCTAACTGCACGGGACTAGCAGTCCGTGAGTTCTCCCAAAACCCCCCGACACAGCTGTCCAACCCCTAGCTGCCTCTATCCTCTCCAAACTTCGCTCAACTCCAACCAAAACTCCTCATTCGGAGGACAAATTAGGCTTAAAGGCCAGCATCTCGTATTAAGGGATACAGCAGCGAGAAATAGAGCTGTTCTCCTCCCCTTCATGCTTCTAAGGCCACATCACCCTTCATGCAGCTTGGCAGAGCTCATCCACAAGCCTTATCCGAGCCTACAACATCACTCACTCGCCAAGAATAGCCGACGAGTAGGATCTATGGACGCCGGCCGTCTTCTTCCTGGAGTTATGTCAGCAATCAGTCCTCGAAGGGGCGTGCAGGCCTCCGCCGCTAGGAAGAAGTCGAGGACAATGCGGGGGAACGTCCGCGCTTTCGCGCCGAATATGGGAGGCTGTGGGACGTGGATCGCAACCGGGAGGATTTCAATTGACTTGGAAGCTCGGGGGGGGGCGGGGAGTTCTGGAATGTTGAGGGGGTGCTGGGTAAGTGGGAGGAGACCGCGACCAACGTGTCCAACCAACCTCCACCCGATCCGCGATGCCGCACCCAATTCACCTTTGAGGAGAGTGACAACGGAAACTCCGTTGCTTTGTGGCTCCTTGGCAAAGCAAGAAGGATTTGGCTGAGTTGTCCAAGGGGCTTTGAGATTATTTTCTAAAAGCTGTCTGAAGTTTGAGAGTAACAAGAGGATTGGACATATGTGATTGGGGGGGCTTATTGGAGAACTGCCACGGGACTGCTATCCGTGCAGCAGAGAAGGTCGATTTGCTAAAAAAAAGTTTTTGAACGATCGATTTTACCTTATTAATTTAAAAATTGTCTGTTTTAAAAATTTGTCCATATTATACTAGTAAATCACTATAATATAGTATAATATAGTAGTAGCTACGACATATATATAGATATACAATATATAGGTACTCAATTTGGATCAGATACTTACTTTCATATCAGTATGCACAAATGTATTTCGTATTTGTACCTACTAATACATATATTTAATATCCATATTCGCGACCTATCGGGTTCGGAATGGATATATCCACACATATGTGCATTTGTTTACATTTTTAATATTTGAAAGGATTAAATGAATATGAGATGACAGCTTATTTAGAAAAATGAGATGTCACACTACATAATGACTATCTCTTAATATTTCATTTAGTAAAAATGAGTCATTGGTATCATACCAATTACTATTTCCACTTGAGGAGAAAATTGTCCATTGGTCCCGTGTCGCGGAGCGTGAACCTGGGTTTTGCTGGGGGTGTTACGAGTCGGCCGATACTTCCAAAATATGGACGACACGCGACGCATTCCTCATCCTCTTTTTAGGCTTTTTCCTTCCTCTCTTTGTCTCTTGCTCGCTTTCAAACTCACCAAATAAACAGAAAAAAAAAAGAGAAGAAGGTGAAAGGAAAAAAAAAATGGAAAAAAAGGGAGATAGAATACTAAGTCTCGTGTTTTCTGTCATTCAGCTAAATCCTCTGCTTCCACTCATTTGAGAACTCAAAGCTCTTCAAGGTCAGTTCTTTTTCTTCTTCATCTTCTTTCCTTCTTGTTTATTTTACCTATTCATCTTGTTTTGGGGTCATGGGTCTGTCTCTATCACATCTGAGAATGTTTCCTCCTCTTCTTTTTTAAAAAATTAATTTTCTGGGTATCACAGGTTTTTGAGTTTTGAAAAGAACCCAGAGGGTTCTGCATGTTATTTTTAATGGTTCTGTTGATTTGGTTGATGGGTTTAAAGATTGATCATCTACTGCATTAAGCCCATTCATCGCGGGCTCTATCATTATCAGCCTAGAGTTAGGGGCTTTGCTTCAATCCCCAGGGGTCAACAGGTAAAAATGCTGATTAATGTTTTCATCGTTCAGAATTTTAGTGGGTCAGATTAAGCCAAAGTTAGAATCGTGGCTGGAATTTCAGGCTTTCACAAAGGAAATCTGATGAAATTCCCTTGGTTTAGGTGAATGATAGCTGAAATCGATAAACGTAACATAGGTTTTGCTAAATTTCACATAAGCCCAAGGAAGTTTGGAACATTTTGATGATAACCCCGTAAAGTTTGGAAATGTCACTTAACGCCCAATTTTTTCTCGCATTTTTCTGAATTTGATTTTATACGTACCCCAAAGTTTGGGATATCTGAAAAACTTTTGGGGGTTAAGCAACATTTCCAAACTTTTTGGGGGTTATCTCAAAATGGGCCTAACTTCTTGGGGGGTTCTGTGAGATCTACCTTTTTTTTTTCAGTTTCATGATTTCGATGTACTGAAGTTTGGTACTTTGGGTCCAAAGTGGAACCACAGTTATGAAATAGTTCAGTTGCATAGCACATTGTATTCTTTCTTCTAAAAGAAAGAGGATATTTATGTTGGGAAGACCTTGCGGTTCCTGGTTAGTTAATTTCTGATCGGTATCACAAAGATCTTGAGATGATTATTGATTGATTGGTTGTTGAAACTTTTCATGTGCTTTTTGTGAATAAAACTTTAGACGTTGTCCAATTGCGTGAATTCTCGTGGTGATCTATGTTGTCGCTGCACATTTATCGTAAAAGGCTATCAATGATATTTATGTTTTCTTTTGTCCAGAACAGAGATATCATTGTTAATTAGGATTTAGGAGGGCTTTCTACATCCGAGCTTGTTCCTTTCTGATCAGAAACATGGGAATTTTGAGATGGTCGTTGATATTTTTTTTTTCCTTTTATTCGTTTTTCTGAATAACCAGTGGTTACTGATAGTTAAAATCTTTAACTCTTTTTCCTCCCTTTTCAGCCTTGATTTTCTAAGTAATGCTTTTTTATCGTCCAAATAATATTCCATAAAACTCAACTGGTTGTCCTATTTTCAGAACAAGGCTCGATATTTGGTTTAACGTAGTCATAAAGGGTTTAGTTGCTTAAACAATGAGTACAAGTGATGCGATTGAGAGCCACGGGAGTGCTCTCGACAAGGAAAAAAATAGGGTGAAATGCAATTATTGTGATAAGGTGGTTCGCGGGTTCAACCGTCTTAAGCACCATTTGGGTGGTGTTGGGCATGATGTGGTAGCATGCACTCAAGTTTCTGATGACATTAAGCAGAATATGAAGAATTCTCTTCTAGAAAGGAAGAAAGAGAGACTGTTGAAGGAAGTCGGAGACTTATACCACCCAGATCTTCCTTTGAAAAGGAACATTTCTCCACCATCCTCTAATGAGCTCAGATGCTCCAAGCCCAAACTGAGCCCACCACTTACTTCAGCAAATGAACACTTGGCTTCAGCAGCTGGACCTCAGGAGACTTCAAATAGAACTGGAGGTGGATCCGATGGCCAGTCAACTCAGCCAACTCCATTCTCTATCAAAATAGAAGATGTTGATGTAGTTATCAAGGAAGAAATGAAGGATGATTCAGTGTTGGTTGCCGCAAAGTGTATAGGTAGATTCTTCTATGAGGCAGGTATTGACCTTAACAGCATAAAGTTGCCTTCTTTCCAAAGAATGATAGATGCTGCCATTAACTGTGGACTTGGATTTAAGGTCCCTAAATATGATGAACTCAAAGGGTGGATTCTTGAAGCGGACTTGAAAGAAGTTAAGGGACACGTGGATGAGGTAAAGAGCTCTTGGGAGAAAACTGGATGTAGCATTCTGTTGGATTGTTGGACCGATCAAAGGGGCAGGAGCCTGATTGCTTTTCTTGTAGATTGCCCTCGAGGGACTATATTCTTGAGATCTGTAGATGCTTCTGATGCTGTTAGGGATGTTGATGCATTGTTCTTGTTATTCAGTAAAGTTATTGAAGAGGTGGGTGTCCAAAACATTGTTCAGGTCATCAGTCATGATCCAACATGTTATATGGAGGCTGTGGGCAAGAAGGTAGAGGAGAAATACAGTACAATATTCTGGACATTATGTGCAGATCATTGCATAAATTTTATTTTGGAGAGAATATCAGCGACAGAACATGTTCAAGAAGTACTAGGTAAGGCTAAGACCATTACCCAATTCATTTATAGTCATGCACTGCCTCTGGAGTTGATGAAGAAATACATTCAAGGAAAAGAGCTTGTGAGGACCTCGAGGTTGAAATCGGTGGCACCCTTTATCACACTGGAAAACATGATGTCTGAGAGAGAAAATTTGATGAATATGTTCAATTCATCAACATGGGAGATGTCACAGTGGGCTTCTAAAACTAAGGGTAAAACCGTATGTGAGCTGGTTAAGAATCCTTCCTTTTGGGCTTCTGTTGCTGATATTCTGAAGGTCACAAATCCATTAATTGGTGTTTTACATCAGATTAATGGAAGTGATGCCGCTCCAATGGGTTTTTTATATGATTCCATGGATCGTGCAAAGGAAGAGATAAAGAGGAATTTAGGAGGTGAAGAGGCAAGATGTGAGCCTTTTTGGATAATAATAGATGAGATATGGAACTACCATCTTCATAGTCATCTTCATTCTGCAGGGTACTATTTGAATCCAAGTCTCTTTTACTCGGATGATTTCTTTGTTGATACTGAGGTCACTAACGGGATTGTGCATTCCATTGTGCGCATGATTGGGCACCAACATAACCAACATCAGGCAGTTCTGCAACTTGATGCCTACAGATCTGCTATAGGACGTTTTGATGACAAAACAGCAATTGATCAAAGATCAAAAGTTCCACCAGGTGAGCGAGCATGAGAATCTTTTCAATTTTTTTCAGTACTTATTCATCAAATTTGCTTGTGGACATGTGGCGGCAATTAAAGAATCTTCATGATAGTACTTGCATTCATCTTTTATCATCCCATCTTATGAGACATGCTCATGTGTTTAACTCTTACCATTTGCCACCCATCTTATGTACATATATAATCCCTTCTCCCTTTTAGGCTGAGTTTATTGTATGAAAACTGAAAAGGAAAAGAGTAGTACACATCTGTGTAGAAAGTCACTCATATTAGAGATTTCTATGGTAATCAAAGTGCCCCATGTTTATCGATGTAATCGTCTTCTCCAAATTGTTCTGATTTTTGTGTTATCGTCACTCTCACAAATAAACAGGGGATTAATAAATTTTTCCTACTCTGGATATCCTGCTGTAATTCGCTTAAGTTTGTGTTTAAGATCACATTTCTTCACAATCATTTGTTGGGTAATCGTAAACTCTCATTCTGCATGACCCTTGTCTTCTATATTGAGCTGTAGCAAGGAAGAAACCTCTCAAATTTTAGAGTTTGTATCCATTGTTCTAAAATCCCTGACATGGGCCAATATATTAGCATATATATCCTTTTATAAGGCTTGCCACAAATTGATATTGTCTAAATATCTTATAATGATTTTTGCAATTTTTGGGTTATATATCATGATTTTTCCAATATATCATGTGACATTTCGGCCTCAAAAAATCATCCAAATGTTTTATTATTGATTTGTATTTGTTTTACAAGATTAGTTTGGACTTATGGTTTTGTTACCAAACAAATATTTGCTTTTGTAAGTAACTCTGAAAAAGAAATATGCTCAATTGAGATCAAATTCTTTCATAAAAGTTTTGCCAGATGTAGCACTTTTCTCCCCAGCTTCACTCTTGATGCATCGAGTATGAACAGTTATGATTTATATATACATATTATTGGATATGACATTCCGATATATCTATTAAATATCTTAAATATATTCCCAGATATCCACCGTTTGATATGGAATTTTTCTGCCCGTCATGCCCATGATATTCAATACTTAGAACACTGCTTGTATCCTTATATCCTCATGGACCTGACATGACATGGCATGACTTTCATGTTAACAGAATCTGAGCAATATAAACTGAAAATGGCCTTAATAATGTGATCTCTTTGCAAGCTACATAGATTGTTGTAAGTTGATCTGCATATATCTTTGACCTGAAACGTCATATATCCTTGACCTGAAACATCATATATATCCTCTCAGTTGGTTTTATGAGGGCTCCACCCAAATATGGATCATCCAAAACCAATCATAGCCGGTCCCTAAGGTGGACCGACCTAGGAATCCTAGTTAGACTGTGATAGATGATTCCTATTTCCTATATAAATATGCACAATGGCTTTAGAAAGAGGTACAATAAATACATAGAAATAGAGAGAAACAAGAAGCAAAACCATCCTTTTGTTTCCTATAATCGCGTTTAGGAGTTAGTAACTGGATGAAATGCAGGGGTTTCATTGCATACAACTGGTGTGATCACTCTCAGGCCGTTGAACAAGAAGTATGTGGCAAACCTACATGACTGATTCACTTGATGATACCTTATGTCTCTATGTTCCGTAGTGCATGGTTACGTACTAATTTACCCTACATGTGTAGATCACCTAGTTTCAACACTACACTTTGCTTGCTTTCACAGTTGAAACTATGCGACTACATTTTCTTAGTTTAATTAAGCAAAATTGTTCTCAAATGTCAAAATTTAAATCAAACAAGCAACCTTCCAGAATCAGGCATTCTTTTTAGACACATTGTTCCTAGCTATTTACTACCTTTGATTTTGATCTGAAAAATGTGATTGCATAGTATTCTTTATTGGCGCAGAAGTATAACATAAAACTTGATATTTTCTCATTGGCTTGCGGTTGAAAGAACTTGAACAAATTTACCAACATTGCCAAGTTCCTTTCATTTTGATTTTTTTTGTACCTGTATCTCCAAATTCATTTTCTTGAACCCACAATGACTCCGTTGATAATGCCACAATTTCTAGTTAGCCCCTTCTTATCCAGCTGATGTTAGTTGAGAAAGGCACCAATTAGAACCATATTTACCAACATTGCCAAGTTCCTTTCTTTTATTAAAATCTTTTTTGTACCTGTATCTCCAACTTCATTTTCTTGAACCCACAATGACTTCGTTGATAATGCCACAATTTCTAGTTAGCCCCTTCTTATCTAGCTGATGTTAGTTGAGAAAGGCACCATTAGAACCATATTTATTCTTATTTCTTCCTATTTTCCTCCTTATTTATCCTTCCTATTTTTTTCATGGTTTTCTTCTTTTCTCGTGCAAATCTCTCTATAATTGCTCTATCCTTCCCTCTATCATTTCTCCACACACTCTCTCTCTCTGCTCTCCTCTCTCTCCCACTCTCATTCCTCTCTATCCCTTCTTTTGCATTCTATACTCACGCTTCTTCTCTTGGGTTTCCTCCCTCCCTCCCTCCCTGACTCCCTCTCTCTCTTGTTTCCTTTTTGCTTATTTTTCTCCAATCGCTTTTCCTTCGTTCTCTTCCTTTCCCTCAGCTGGTTCACCCAAGCATGTGATCTACACTAAGTTTAAAACCTTAGCCTAAAAATAGAAACACCTCTTGACAATCACCATGATTAGATATACATGACCAAGTATATCTTGATGTGTTTGTGTGTGTATGTATATGTGTGTGTATGTGTGTGAAGCAAAGTTTAAAACCTTAGCCTAAAAATAGAAACACCTCTTAACAATCACCATGACTAGACATTCAGGATCAAGAATATTTTGATGTGTGTATATGTGTATATGTGCACACACATATGAGTGGAATTGAATCTAATCAAACCGAATAATGGCAAGTTCGGATTCAAATTTGGTTCTCATGAAACTATTGTCGAGTTCGAATCGAATATCAAATAAATTTTGAATTTGATCAAATTAGCATACTCAATATTTGATTNTTGTGGGGCTTAGGTTTGGGGGTTAAGGAGACAAAGGCAGCAATAACCATGGGCCCATGGCGGTATGGTGATGGTAAAGTTGAGATATAAACGAGAGAGATAAGGGATAAGGAAGAGAGGAAATATATGATAGGCTAGGGTCCTATTTGGTTGATTTATTAGGGAAAAAAAGATTGTAGTGATTTTCACAACAAAAACCAAGTGATTGTGGGTCCCAATTTTGTGGTATTCACTCTTTTCCAGAACAAAAACCACAGTTTGGTTTTCATAAAAAGCCATGTGATTATAGTAGTTTTCACCAGTTTTGTGGCTTGCAAATCATTATTTTTCCATCTCTTACCTGTGAACCAAACAACAAAAAGGGAAAATTAGAATCAGAATTAGTTCTACAATTGATGTTTTCCTTTTTTCTATAACAAAACAGGCCCCGAGAAAGAATAAGCTAGAGAGAAAAAGGATAAGAGATGAAAAATGTGACATAAGTTAGAGAGAGAAAGGATAAGGAAGAGATGAAAAAAATTAGAAAACTAATGGCTATCAAAGATATTTACTTGATTAATTATATGAGATTGTATTTTGTAATAAAAATTTTAGATGAGTAAGTTTTACAATAAGTATGTGAATAGGACTAAATGTAAAATATAAATGAATAGATAACAATCAAATGAATCAAATATACATTTGGTTAGATTCTATTCGTTTTTGTATGAAATACAAAAAAGTATTTGTTTATTGTTAAATGAAGGTTGAATCACATATGATTGAATACGTAGAGAAAACCAAACGAACTATTTGTTAATTATTCGGTTCGTCCCATCGTGTCATACATATATTAACAGTTTACAATCCCCTCACTTTCTACGGAGCAATTGTATATAGTCTCAAATTGATAAACTTACAATTGTTTTTTTTTTCCGAAAAACTTAACATAAGGGAGACTTAGGTATATACCTATTGAAATCAAATTAGCTTTATAACTCAATTGTTATATCTAGACCACGCGTGTTAAAATTTATAAATATACATGCAAGATTATAGGATTCCATACACAAGCCCGACTGTTACAAAATTCCAAAATAATAAGCGCTCTCAAGCTCCAAAATTGTGACCCATGATCCAAGGCTAAATGGATCAGTATAGATATAGAGCACAAAAAAGGAGAATGAATAATCCAAGTTTAAATCTGTAGAAAATAAATTTGAATAATCATCTCCTTCCGAAGTCTTCAACCACTCACAAAGATAAAATTGTTGCGGCATTTCATGAGTTGTCTTCTCATGAAAACAAAGTATCTACATCTCTAAGATATATTCCATAGTTTAGTTAGGTTTGCTTTAGGAGAATCATCGAGTTATGGTTGAGTTTTAAGTTTAATGGATATTTATATTCAATGATGGTGCTAATTATAAAGCTCTATATATCCTGTTAAAAGAAAAGTTATGCACCTAAAATAATTAGTTATGTAAATGCTAAAAGGCCAAATTTCCCCCTGTTACAGGGCTTCATTCTCAAATTGGTCCCTGTCCTGCTACTTCCTTTTTTCTCAACTTAGTCTGCTACCACATCTTAGTTAAAAACTTGGTTTTTTTAACATCTGTTAAAAAAAAGTGTTAATTTTTTCATTTATGATTATATATCCTCAATGGGACTAAACAGAGCATACATTTCTCGTGGGGGTGGCATCATTTAAGTTTGGAAGACATTTTTATCCTCTTCTTTCTACGTGCTTGTGCAGAATTTTGTTGAGAACAGAAACCATATTCAAAAGGAACAGAATACATTGTGTTAAAAAAGGAGCAAAATGATCTCATTATAAGCATATAACATTTGTAACGTCTTCATGCTGCTAATAATAGCAATATAATATACAATCAGCCAATTTTTTTTATTTTAGTCATTGCATACGATTTTTTATTTCAGTCATTGCATATAAGATGCACAAACTAATAAGAAATATAAAGAGGTCTTTCCTTTGGTACCTCATTCACCTTTGCTT